GACCAAAACGCTGGCTTGCATCCACAGATGCTTCTCAAGTAAATCCCAGGACGTCATTCTCCCGTTGTACTCAGCCTTGGTGAGGCCACAGCTGGGGTGTTGCGTCCAGTTTTGGGCCCCACAATTCAAAAAGGATGTGGAGAAGCTTGAGAGAGTCCAGAGAAGAGCCACGCGCATGACCAGAGGTCAGAAAAACAGACCTTATGACAGGCTGAGAGCCCTGGGGCTCTTAGCCTGGAAAAGCGCAGGCTCAGGGGCGATCTGATGGCTACCTATGAGTTTATTGGGGTGTTCACCAGGATCTGGGGGAACAATTGTTCACCGGAGCGCCCCAAGGGATGATACGGTCGAACGGTTATAAACTCCAGCAAGACCGTTTCAGGCTGGACATAAGGAAGAATTTCTTTACTGTCCGAGCCCCCAAGGTCTGGAATATCCTGCCATCAGAGTTGGTTCAAGCACCCACATTGAACACCTTCAAGAGAAATTTGGATGCTTGTCTTGCTGGGATCCTATGACCCTAGTTGACTTCCTGCCCCTGGGGCAGGGGGCTGGACTCGATGATCTTCCGAGGTCCCTTCCAGCCCTAATGTCTATGAAAATCTATGAAGGCCAATCTGATAACCGATATTTAGTAATAGTGCAAGGCATTTTAAACTACTGGCATAAACATTTTTTGTTTGCTTTTTTTGCATTTTTAACGCACGCGCGCATACACATTCCTCCTGCCTGCTCCAGCCCGTGCACATCGCCCCTTCAACCACAGCTCCTACCTGCTCCCTGTACAGCCCATGCTGCTGTCCTGGGAGGGTGGGGACAACCGTCACATGAAATGGATGCATTTGGAGCCCCAGAACACACCTTTGCCTCAAGCATCAGTGGGCCCTGCACAGCCAAACTCCTGCGGCTGCCAGGGAGAAACCACTTTTGCAAAGGCACCTGGTGCCCTGCGGAACAATGTCCCTCGTGCTGCCTTACCCTGCCAGTACGCAGCCCAACATCTCTGCGGCAGCCCTGGTGCTCCAGCCCCTGCTGCGCATGTAGTGTTGCTGTGGTGGCAGCAGGAGCCAGTAATGGTCCCTGTGTTGCTGAACACAGCACCCTGTGTCGGCTCCCTGGCACCCTTCCTCCTCCCACTGCTCGCCAGGACCTGTAGTCTTCCCTGGGCTCTGGCCACCGGGGGGCATGGGGACTGGACTACACCTGCCAGGGTGCTCTGGGCACACAGCTGTAATTATCAACTACAACGAACAAAAAAAGTCTATAATTGATAATGCCATTTCTCCTTTTATCGGTGCCGATCCGATAGCCAACCGATTATATCAGTGTACCCCTACTAAAGGCAAAGTACAGACCTTGAAATTTACTCTCAAGCTGATTGCCTTTTCTCTTGAGCTTTTCTTGTAGATTTAAAGCACAGTTAGCACAGATCAGAATTAGTGTATTAATACAGATGCATTTTTGTTTTGGTCCCCTGCTATTGCATATATGCTTGAGAAGCAAACTTATCAGGTACTTTACATTTTTAAAAACATTTAGTAGTGTTCTAAAAGTTTCCTACTAGGTTTTTTTTACTCCTTATGATCAGCAGCCATTTCATTATCATGATCTCTCCTGAAACCTCACCTGTTCTCAGGTTGTGTTTCATGTACTTGTACTATGTTGTCTTGTGTCTTATCTCTCTTTCTCCTTCTCCCAACTCCTCATGGCCTGAACTTCCTTTCCCACAAGTACATTTAGTCTAGGGTTCAGCAGCGTTTTTGGGTAGAGTGCCAAAAATACCTGCAGCCTTGACTTGTAAGAGGTTGGTGACCCAAGAGCAGATGGTGGGGGGGCCTGATTCTTGTTGTAGTGGTGCAGCCCTGGCCCCTTACATGCCATCTGCCCCGAGGCATGCATGCCAAGCAAAATGCCTTCGTGTGCCACACACTGGCACCTGTGCCAGGGGTTGTCTACCCCTGCCTAGGCCTTCTGGCTATGTGACCAAGCATCTGTCTACTCTCACTGTTCGTATCACCTTTACCTACTGTGGTATTTCTTTTCTGTGTGATCTTTCTTGCTGACTCCAGAAATCCACCCCAGTATCCTCACCTCTGTCACTTTCCATGGACAGCTGCTGCTCGTCTGTTGCCCAGCACTCTGATCTGTACAATGCTGGCCTCGTTAGTGTTTTGTAGAGTTTTCTCCATTACAAATTCACATATTCCTAGTTTGTTTTAATAAATGCTTAAAATGTCTTTTTTTTACTGCCGTGATCAAATTGAAATAAATACCGTATTTATTAGAATATAAAATTACCCTGGATATTATAAGACAACATCCCAATTAATTAGATTCTATATGTGGAAAATGTATAGATTTGTTATAATTTTCCAGGTATAAAGTCTAATTAATGGAGGTTTGCCTTGAATTTGTCTCCTTCCGAATGCTGCAGCAGGAAAAATCCAGGGGTTCAGGTAATGCCTCTGCCCCCCCCCCCC